TTTGGGACTAACAGGGTTTACTAGAATCCCACCACTCCACCACAGAGTCACCGCAGTAGACGTTAGATGAGCGCTGTCGCTCCGCGGCACTTGTTTCATGTGCAGACCGTGGTCATTGTTGACCGCAACTAATTCCAAGACAGCGGACTTAACAAAGAGACAGGGTTCTTATTTATGATCACGGTAGACCTACCAAGATGCCTGCTGTTAACTGCCCAATCCCCGGCTGCGACTACAAGACGCCATACCTCGACGCTGCTATCGTTGCCGCACTCCTCACTGCCCACAGCGCAATTCACACATATGGACAAGCTGCCAAGGTCGAGAAGGTCAAGAGACCAATGATTCCTGTTGCTGGCACTAGCGAGGAATGGGCGTACTTCAAGCCACGGTGGTCTGACTACGCTGATGCCACCAAGATTACCGGGAAGGACAAGGTTGCACAGCTCCTGGAATGCTGCGATGAACCTCTACGCAAGGATCTCACAAGAGCTGCTGGTGGCAGCCTCACCAACACAGGGGTCGGAATTATATTTTTATTATGGTATCCATTTGGGATACCAGGTATTGAAATCTGGTATTCCATTTTTTGGATAGTAAATTCAACAATTTTTTGCCTTCAAAATTCTCATCGCTCGCGTTCATTTTACATACACCTTCACAGTACACCGCAGACGTATTGTCTATACGCATTGTCTGGTTCGCTTGATACAATGTATACACATCACATTTATGATCAACATCGGCTTCTTGCAACAATATCTTGCAAATATGCTATGTCTGCTGTATAACGCTAGTGTGGCGTAAGGGTGCCTGAGCAAGCTCAGATCGCGCATAAAGTTGATAACTAAACAACCACTATCTCGATTTTGACGATTATTTTTTTACTATCCTGGTGGGATACCAAGCATCAAATCTGGTATCCAACACAAGAACTTACTATCCTGCGGATATCGGGATACCGTTAATTTCGACCCCTGCAACAAAACTGAGGATGAGGTACTGTCATCCATCCAAAAGATCGCCATGCGCGAGGAGAATACAATGGTTGCTCGGGTGACACGCCACAACATGCGTCAAGAAAGAGATGAGACAGTTCGCAGCTTCGGAGCCCGTCTGCGGGATCAAGCAGACATCTGCAAATTCATCATTGAATGCCCTACCTGCGCTGCCGATGTCAACTACACCGACGCAATAATGCGGGATGTGCTTACCAGGGGAATTGCTGACTCTGAAATCCAGCTTGATTTTTTAGGAGACAACCAGGACATGGGCTTGGAAGATGTCTTCCAGTTCATTGAGGCAAGAGAGGCCGGGAAACGCTCTGCCTCCTCCCTCCTGGACTCACACGCGGTGGAAGCAGCCAGCAGCTCCCATCGGAAAACCAGACAGACACATTTCAAGGAGAAGCAGAAAGTGTGCGCCTACTGCGGTAAGAAGGGGCACGGACGGAGCGTTCCAGCTCATGTCCGCAAGACGCAGTGTACAGCCTATGGACAGATATGTGGACACTGTGACAAGCTTCATCATATGGAGAATGTCTGCCGCAGCAAGGGCAGGCCACGACACCAACAGTCAGCCATCCCTGGCGAACACGAGGGTGCTATCTTCGACACCCTCTGTACCATCCGTGACTTAGGGCAACCACATGGCCTCCCCATCACCCACCACGTGTGTGATAACCTTTCCAAAGCATGGCACAGGAAAAGAATGACACCTCAGCCATTCCTTGATGTGACCGTGAAAGCTGTTCCTGATGACTATGAAGCCCTTGGTTTCGGCCTCTCATCCCCCTCGAAGATCTGCTCCATACCAGCCATGGCAGACACTGGATGCCAAAGCTGCCTTGCTGGTTTGAAGGTCGTCCATCGCCTTGGATTACGCTTTCAAAACCTCATCCCAGTCACCATGGCGATGCACACTGCGACTAATGGGGGCATCACGATCCTTGGAGCCGCCCCTCTCTGCTTATCCGGCAAAGATCCCCTCGGTCATGTTGTCGAGTCACGGCAACGGACCTACATCACAGACATCTCCGATAAGCTCTTCGTCAGCAAAGCGGCCTGCATCGATTTGGGGATCATCTCGGAAGGCTTCCCCACAGTCGGCATGACACAAGGGGCACACCAACCGGACACGGCAGCCACCCTCAAGGAGGCCTCTGATGGAACAGTCTGTACCTGCCCTCGGCGTCAACAGCCCCACCACCCCCTATTAAACTGCCATTCCCTGCGACTGAGGCGAACCATGTGAAGCTGCAACAGTATCTACTTGACTACTACAAATCAAGCACATTTAATACGTGTGAGTATCAGCCCTTGCCACTAATGGACAGCCCCCTATGAAATTGATGGTGGACCCTGACGCAGAGCCAGTCGCACATCACACACCAGTGCCTGTTCCACTCCACTGGTGAGATGCCGTCAAGGCTGGTTTAGATAGTGATGTTCAGTTGGGTGTGCTCGAACCAGTACCCATCGGGGAGCCTGTTACCTGGTGCCACAGGATGGTGGTGTGTGCAAAGAAGGACTGTAAACCATGTCGGACGGTTGATTTCTAGGCCCTCGATGTGCACGCTACCCGCGAGACACACCACACACCATCACCCTTTATTCAGGCCAGTTCCGTTCGTCACAGGAAGAAAAAGACAGTACTCGACGCATGGAACGGATACCATAGCGTACCCATATGCCCAGAGGACAGACATCTCACCACCTTCATCACTCCATGGGGCAGGTACCGATACAAGACAGCATGAGGACCTCATAGCAGTCAATCACAAGCCCCTCCTCAAGATCTTTACTGACTGTGCCCTACAGGACATCCCTAACCCCCGCCTGAGGAACTTGAAGGAGAAAACCCTGCGCTACAAGTTTCGTATGGTCCATGTCCCAGGCGTCAGACACCGTACTACAGACTGCCTCTCTCGACACCCGACTGGTGCGCCTGAGGGTTTGTACCTTCCCGATGACATCGCGACGATCTCTTTACCTGCCACGTTCCTGCACTCCACATCGCTCATGGCGGGCCTCCGCACGCTGGCCCCGCACGAGGACACCATCGAAGTTTGCACACTCTTCTGCTATGTGTGCCCTGGAGTCCTTCCACCTGAAGTCAGTCACATGTGACAGAGTCCGTACTGCCACAGCTAGTGATGACAACATGCAGGCACTGCTTGGCACTATCGAAGCTGGCATGCCAGAGTTCCGCCATGAACTCCCTCCACCCCTACGTGAATACTTCCAATTCCGTGATGAGCTCTCTGCAGTTGACGGGGTCATCCTCTACAAGGACTGTCTTGTTATTCCACCATCTCTCCAGGAGAAAGTATTGGCCCACCTCCATGTTGCGCACCAAGGAGTCACCTCTATGACTGCCAGGACATAATCCTCAATCTTTTGGCCAGGCATCTTTCCTGCCATTGCGGCTCTCCGTGCATGGTGCAACCAATGCAATCGGATTGCACCCTCCAACCCGAGCGCACCACCAACCCCGTTGCTGTTTCCAGCCTACCCTTTCCAATGTGTCTGTGCAGATTTTTTCAACTACAAGGGCTGCAACTACTTGGTTGTAGTGGACCGCTACTCAAACTGGCTCAAAGAGTTCCACTCAAGGGGCAACTGGACTTATCTCATGCCTACGTCGGACATTCGTCACCTTCGGAATCCCGGATGAACTTGCATCGGATGGTGGCCCGGAATTCACGGCAGTCACTACACGCCGCTTCCTCCAGGACTGGGGCATCCATCATAGACTCTCCTCCTTTGCTTATCCACATAGCAACTGCCGCGCTGAGGTTGCTGTCAAATCCGTCAAACGTCTCATCATGTCTCGCCACGCTCCACTGGCTCTGCTGACGTTCCTCACTGCAACACGGTGCCGCCTGCCAACATGCCTCTGCCACCCCAGCTGGACGATGATGGTTCTACCGACAGGCGTTTTCCTCTCCCTGCAGTTGTCCCCTTTACTGTGCATGACTCACCAGCAACGACATCAACCGACATGGCACCCCCGGCAATCTCTCGCCGGATTCCGGATCCTGCACCCGTCAGTGCCCCTCCGGCTGGCCCTCCTGCTACAGCACCGAGACGCTCTACCCGTCGCACCAAGCAGCCTGCTTGGCACTCTGACTATTCCATGTGATCTCAGCATTCAAACTGACAATGTTTTTCGCGTTCCTGTGTTTATGTTCCTACGGATGTTTGACTTTTGATACATGGATTTTTCATAGTTTTGTTCACAAGATTCGTCATTCATGCCAGTTGTTTGTTGTTCACTGCACTATTTCGGATTGTTCAGTCTTTGTCACATTATTGACATTTGCGTCAGTCTATTCGCGCCAAAGACTTGAGGGGAGATAGAGGATTGTAACTGATACTATGTACCCATTCTTTTGTTTCATGTTCAGACCGTGATCATTGTTGATCGCAACTAATTCCAAGACAGCGGACTTAACAAAGAGACAGGGTTCTTATTTAAAAACCAAATAAAATATGCCATCTACATGCATTGTCAAAGGCTGTAAAAGCTTCCATGGAAAAACACAACGCTGTGCAGACAATGGCTTATTCCAGCTGGATTTTTGGAGAACAAGGTCAACGTAACGAGTGTGGTCCACATCAGAAATTCCAGGAACCGTGGTTCCTGGAACAGGTTCCAACTTACGTGCAAATGTCCAGATGTAAACAATTCATAACTACCCCCCCTCCCCAAGGCCCTTGTTTCCAAGAAATACGTCAGAATAGTTCCAATGTTGAACTGCACCAATGAATACTGCAAGTTTCCACTCGAATATATATGCATTTTTAAGCTCAATATACGAGCAAAAGGTTTGTTGACTTGTTGATGCTGATGGTATCACGGCTGCCATAAAATTTACTTTTATTCCTACCATTCTGCGATTCGTTGTTGGAGTCACGTGATATTGCGCCATGTGACTTGAATTCCGAGTGTTGTTACAAATTCACCGATTGACCAGTGAAATTGGCTTTAGGCGAAAGAGAGTAGATAAACATTAAGACGTTGGTTGTAAATACATTTCGTGTTAATTCACCATCGTTTTATTATTGAAACGTTCCAAGTGCCTGTGATTATAATGTCTACGGTCCATCTGATGTATGCTGTATAATGTAGCGGCATGTCTTGTGAGTGGTGTATCATTGCATGGCATATAATATGTGTTTATCTGTATACTTTGTATGTTGGTCAGTTGGTGCGATAAAGTAAATGGCTGTAAAGTAAAGTAAGTGTAGAGTTTTCACGATATTTATGAGTTGCAGTTTATTGCCTGCACCGTACACGTAACATGTCTTGGTTATTTGTATTTCGGTCAACGACACACTTTATTATTTATAGTACATTCTATAAATAGTACATATTTTATTCATTCACAGTGTATACATGTAGATTTTTCGTTCTTTGTAGAAACCAAGAGGCAGTGTTATTACTTAATCATCAGAAACCATGGAAAATATAAGCAAGCACAAGGAATTCGCTAATCATTCAACTAATGGCAATGTAGCAGTCATCTCTGTAAAGGGCATGACGTGTCAGTCATGTGTCAACACCATCGAGGAAAACATTGGAAAACTCGATGGCATATATGAGATCAAGGTGAGTGCTTCTTGGGCTAGGGCAGGTATATGCTTCCTTTCTCTCCCCGTCTCTGTCTCCTCCCTTCCTTCATACATCTCCTCCTTTCTTTCCATGTCTCTTATCCACTCCCACTATCTCTCTCTCTCTCTTTCTGTCTCTCTCTCTCTCTCTCTCTCTCTTTCACTCACTCACTCTCTCTCTCTTTCTCTCTCTTTCTCTCTCTCTCTCTCTCTCTCTTGCTGTCTCTCTACCTGTATCTCTCTCTCTCGCTGTCTCTCTACCTGTATCTCTCTCTCTCTCGCTGTCTCTCTACCTGTATTTCTCTCTCTTACCGCCTTTCGCTCTTAGTCACTCTCTCACTATGTCATTCAATCTGTTTCTCTCTTTCTTTCTATTGCTCTCTCTCTCTTCCGCTTTCTCTGACTCTCTTTCCCTCCCCCTCTCCCTCTCCCTCTCTCTCTCTCTGTTTGTGTCTGTCTGTATGTGTGTAAATGTAATTGTATGTCTGTAAGTCTGCCTGCCTCGCCCTCTCTCTTCCTCTCAGTTTCTGCTTTGTTTCTGTCTCTGTTTTTGCTGTGTCTTAGCTGTGATTTGCAATATCCTGTGGTACTATCATACTAGAGTTTATCTATGTTTTATCAAGTTGCCTGTTCTATAGTAGCCTTATGCTAGCCGCACACTATCCGATTTTGCACTGTGCACAGCACTGTGCCCCCGCACACTATACGACCCGCTCCCGATTGATCGGGAGACCCCCGCACACTGTACGACTCAAGGTTGGCGCAAACCATGGCACTCTCGTGGCGTTCCAAGCGGATTCAGCGTGTACTAAGGGTCGGGTGTGTTTTCCCGCTATTTTTACCGAATGCGGTTCCCATAGCGCTGGTCTGTGATTGGTCAATTTTCTTCAGCGCTCGCCGATCGGGTCGATGGCCACGCACACTATCCGAGTTGCGTCGTAAACCCTTGCACACTATCCACTCTCGATTCAAAATTCGAATCGGGCCAAAATGACCTCCCGAGCCAAACTTAAGCTGCCCGAGCTAAACTTAAGCCTCCCGATCCAATCGTAAGCCTCCCGATCCGCTCGGGTCGGATAGTGTGCGGCTAGAATTAGTACATTCATATTTGTAAATGGTGATATCATGCTGAAGGCATAAATGTGATTTCATTTAGTTTTGACAAGATCTTTAATTTTATTGTGCTGCTAGCCTTTTGGAAATATTACTTGTTGTCTTCATACAGCTAAGCTTACCTAAGTTAACTGTACTCTGTGTGATCTCATCATCAAAAAAACGTCAAACGATGGTTGCTACACGTACGTGTTTCGTTAAAAAGCAGCAGATTAAGCTACATTAAAAAAGTAGGATGTGTGATGTCAGGCACAGCGGTAACCCGACCAGGCTGTGTGACTAACGTCAATATACACGTCAATATAGGGGTATTCTAACCCTAGCAATACCGTTTATTGGAGCTAGCACAGTGGTAGACCCCATATAGTTCTATAAGTCAGTCACCCGACTTTCAGTTTCATGAAATTCTACGTGTTTTGTGGAAATTAACAGCGTAGCACATCGCAAAGTGTAGATGTTATATCAGTGTTGCTTTCTAATGTTAAAGCTAATGGAAAAGGGCTCTGTAGTAATTTTAGATCGATTGTGTTTATTGATTGCTAGTGGTATTTGTAGATACAACTGAGTCGTGAGTATGGTCCAAAGTTCAAAGCATGAAGTTTAACCTTAATGTGCAAATTCATACTAAGTTTAAGTGAAGCTAAATACTTCAGCTTGGCTGTTGCCACCGCTATAAAGAAGCTCGTGTGTGCTACGTATAGATACGTCTGATCGTATAGTGTGACCAGGTTCGTTTGAACAGATACGTGTGCTATTGCACTTAGGCCACAGACAGTATAATGCTATAACCACAGAATTACTATGGTTACTCTATTCTTTAATAATAAACATCATAATGACAATTACATACAATACATAGGTGGCTACGCCGGCCAATAAGTAAATACGCGTTACAAATACTACGCAGGTCAACAATGCCTAGGCAGGCTAACATCTAATTCTTATACACCATGCACAATGTGACATACAGACAAGCGACTGGTTTACAAATGCAGTTCATATTTACGAGCGTGGAGTCATGCAGGTCGCAGGCAGCAGGCAGGTCCTCAGTCAGTGATGTCCAGCGGCGACGACAGGGCTGCCAACTCTCACGCATTGACCGAATCTCACGCTCTCACGCTGATCTTACAATATTCCACGCACAGCAAAAAAATGCTGAGATATCTCACGCATGAATATCTCTTCATGAATAAAACGCTGAAATATCTCATGCACAGCAAAATAAATCTTACATTATCTGAAAACAGTCACTTTAGTATGCACCAAATTGCACAAATTGAAGTTATAAAATGCAAAAACTCCCTACCGTGGGAGGGGGGAAACCATATTCACTCCCCCCTCTCTCTGTCGCTTCGCTCCCTCGCATCTCACTCTCACCTATCACCCAATGTTGGCAGCCCTGCGACGGTAGCGTGGTGACGAGAGCAGGTAAGAGCAGCGCGGTGCTGACGGCGTCGTGAACTGTCAGGCACCGTGGAACTGTCTCTCTCTTTCTGTCCAAATTAGTCGGTATTTATGCTTCTGGAGGTTTGCGTGGCCCGAGCGTGGTCAAGGCCTTGTTGACGATGGTGGTGACGATGGTGGTGCAGGACGTGTCGTCATCTTCAACATTTTATGGGTGACTGAAGGTGAGAAGCTGTGGACGCTTCTTGAATCTGGTGTGGGAATCGCGGCAGTTCGATTCATGTTCTCATAGTTCACATAGTTCACATTTGTCGGCGGCGTTCGTTGTTTGTTCTTCATGAGTCGGCATGCGAGATCAAGGTGTGATGTCCTTCTATAGGTACTAAACTGTCACTCTGCCGTCGTGGGTCATAACTTTTACTCGTGTTCCAGTGACTCAGTTCCTCGGGATGGCTGGGTGGCGTCCTTCGCTTGTTGCGTTGGCTGCTACTAAAATAACCTATGACGTGATCTGCTTACGTTTTATACGACCCGTGTCGCTAGGTTTTATACTAGGTTAAATAATTCGATATCTACGTCATTACACTGTTTACACTGTTTACATTAGTAATTTATCTCGACAAAATTATGATAAGGATATCTTATGTTATGTTATCTACTAGAGCGATCGACTAGCCTTCATGTAATTCCTGGAGTGCATAAACTGTTCCTAAGAAAGTGAACGTAAAAAGGTGTATCGTACCTGGATGTTTCACGTGATGGTAGGCAAACTTGCTGGCAAGGACGTATGGGTGAGCAGACATGTGATGTGATGCTGTCCAGCCCTACGTAAAGGACAGCATTATATATAACTGGTTTACTGGAATTCAATAGGGGTCTAGTCTAGGCACGATTGGCAGATTTTATCAGCTGCAGTTGGTTACTGCGCTGCTACGGCGACGGAAAATGGGCCCAGAGCGCGTCAAGGTCGCCATAAGCGGGGTATAAGCGTGGTGGAAACGCCAGACATCGTGCTGTGGTCGCCATGGTCTGACCTGGAACGCGGTGAGAACGCGGTGGGGTCGCGAAGGTCGTGAGACAAGCGTCGTAACATCTCGATGAACGTAGTACACGCGCAGTACATCCGTGGCAAAGACGCTGCGAAAATGGTAACATTTGCAACGGCGACTTCATGGATCTGTCTGATCCGATCCGCCGATCTGTTTCAT